AGATTTTTCTCCTTAATTCCTCTCCTACAATTCCTACCTTTCCTTAGATATTGGATTGGTCATCTAATATCTGTGCTCTCCCTTTTAATGTGAATTGTATTATCTGTATTACTTGTACTATCTGTATTACTTGTGTAACTTATTTGTACTACTTTATTACTAAATAAACTATTCTATATCTGTGAATATTGTCTTATAATTTAAGTATTGCTGTAACAATGTGATACTGTCTTGTATAAAATATTGAAGTTCTGTAAAGATTTAATAATAGATTTGGGAATTAAGCTTTTAAGATTATATTAACTTGTGCTAAGAGGTAATAGAATATTTATATAATGTATAAGTTATATAAAATCTAAGTGAAGCTGCTAAATAAAACTAGTGAATTGAAATATAGAAGCCTATTTGACAAGATCTAAATAGAGAAGTAGTATAAATTTTGATAATACTATATAAAGGATTATTATTTAGAGAACTGAAAAAACTAAATAAAATCAAAATATTTAGCAAAACACTATTTCATTAGATTACCAGAAGAATAAGCAAGGAAAAGGACTTAATTATAAAATAGATAATAGTAGTAAAAATAAAAAGTTACAAGTATTTGTTCTCAAATTAGCATAAGTTACCAAAATTTAGATTAATCAGATTGTGAGTAAAAAAAGCTCTAGTAATAATATTTTGAAGATAAAGTAATTCTATCTCTTAGATTATAATAGAATATAAATGAATTTGTCTGCATTTTTGCACTTTTTTAGCTTTAATTTATTTTTAAAAAATTAAAACATCTAAATAAAATAATTTTTTTATATATAAATTTTACTATAAGCCCGAAAGTGAAGTACATCTATCTAAACTTTTTTCTTACTAAATAAATCATTCTTGGGCTTTTAACAAAAAGTATAAAGCTTATCAAGAAATATCTAATAATAATAAAAACATTAAAATTAGTTTGATAGTTCATGAAAAATCTTTAAAAAACCTTTTATTGACATATAAAATTTCTTTAAAAAAAATCAATTTTTTTTAAAGAAATTTTATATATTAGTAAAATGTTTTTTAAAAATTTTTTAAGAACTACCAGACCAATTTTAATATTCTTATTATCATTAAATATATCTTGATAAGCTTTATAACTTTATTATAAGCTTAAGAGTAATTTATATAGTAAGAAAAAAAGTTTTAGATATAATCTCTTCATGTTTACTAATTAAAGAATTTATATATAATTTATATAAAAATCTTGTATAATCTGTATTATATAGCTCTCCAGATAACTAGTAAATCATCTATTAAAAAGTAAATAGTTATAAAGGTTTTAATAAATCTAAGATCAATATTTTTGAGAATAGTTTCAAAAACTTCAAAGGAAATATTGATAAAATATTAGAAGCTTTTAAATATATACAATATAGAAAATCTTATACTAGAAAAAAATTTAGATTGTAAGCTCAACTAAAATAAAATATTTGAAAGCTATAAGAAATAGTACAATAAAAATAAAATTTAAAGATCCTTATTTAAGTTTATTAAAAAAAGAAAAAATAAATAAAGGTTAAAAATATTGGTAAATTAAATAGAAGTATATTTTAGAAACAGAAAAATAAGAATTATCAAAGAAAAATTTTAATATATAAAGTTATTAATTATAATTTAAATACTAATATAATCTAAAAACAAAAATATTTTTTAAAACTCAAAAGAAGCTTAATTAAATAAAACTAAAATAACTAATCAATATTCTAAAAAGATCTGATTTTTATACAGATAATTATTTCAACAAAGCATAAATAATATAGAAGATCTTGACATTATAAATATAGAAATTCTAAAATATATTATGAAAAACAAATAGTAATTGAAGAAGGTTTTCTAAGACAAAAAAGTAGTTTTTATTAACCAAACCAAAATTAATAACAATCTAATTAGCTATACTTGTAACACTAAGCAAGAAAAATATTAAAATATATACAAATCGAGCAGTAGCAATTAAACAAATCATAGTTAAAATAAAAAATTATAATTTAGTATGAAGTATTATAAAATTAATTAGAATAAAAGAAAATTGATTAAATTTAGTTAAAGTTAAAAGACATAAATAATAAATAGAATAATAGAGCAGATAGTTTAGCAAAACAAAATGCATAATAATTAATACAAATAAAATTATTTTAACTAGCTATTTAGATTAATACTAAAATAGAATACTTAGTAAAACAAGTAATTAAAACAAAACAAAAATTTAAGACAGGTACAGTACAAATTAAAAAGAATTGAAAACAATTTAAAAGATAAAGCCAGAATAAGACTTTAAAGTGAATGAATAAGTCTACTTTTAAAAACAAATTAAAAAAATAGTAGAGTTAGATATATAATAATTAAAAAAAGCAAATATTTTAAAACTCTAATCAAGTATATAAATGAAAACTACTAGTACTTCAGATATTAATGCAAAAATATCTAGACTTGTATCAAAATACCAACTGTATTATATATAATAAAAATGTTAAAAAAGATTAAAATTATCTGGTATGCTGCAAAGAACAAAAAAGCAATTAAAAGATTGCAAAAAAATTTGCAATGAATATAACATAGGCAACTCTCTTAGAAGAAACACAAAAGAGAATAAACAAAACCTATTAGAAAAAATTTTCTAAAGAGAATTAAGAAAAGAATTACTTGAAGCAAAATCAAAGGCAATTAAAGAACTGATACAAAAAGATGTAGCAAAGAAGATACAAAATTCTCTGCAATTAAGAAAAGAAGCTAAAATATACATTAAACTTACTCTCACTATAATATAAAAGTATTTCATTAAAAATATATAAGCAAAAAGATATAAATTAATGTAAAAATAAAAAATCATTAAAGAAATTACAACTAAAACACAAGTTAACAAAAGAAAAAAAGAAGTCAAACCCAAGTATAGTTGAAACAGAATCAAAAAGAAGTGGTTCAAAAATTGTTAATAATGAGAAAAAAATTTTTTTTTTTTCACTTTGACCATCTTGCCAATATTCTTTATTATATTCAATTTGTCAGTGAACAAAAAGCACTTCATGTGTATATAACATTAAGATTTGATATTTTGCAGTTATTTCTAAGAGCACTTACAAGTGACTAGCCGCATTGGGCAGATAAATCTACAAGTAGATACATTACGCTAAATTTCAAAGAAACTTAACTATCTCAGAAGGCACTGTCAGACCATCATTCTACAATAGGATATCACCAAACTGATGACATCTTCTCATAGGAAAGCGGAAAAAAGAAAAAAATACTAATACTAAAACTAAACTAAAAAAGGGAGAAGAGGAAACAAAATGAAAAAAAAGAATCTGATAGATCACAATTATAAGCCTGTATCAGGCTTTAAAAAATTACATATTACAAAATAAAGAAGCTCTGCATTTAATCCTATCCTAATAATATATGTATCTAACCTAAAAACCTATTAAGATAAAAAAAACATTAAAACTAAACTAGAAAACCTTAGCTAAACTAGACAAAGTAGTTTAAGGTAGTTTCGAAGTATTGTTGGCAGTTCACAGAAATCGAGACACAAGTCACCGGTTGTGTTGTCTCAGTTATCTATTTCACCCACCCACCTGTATAACGTTTTCTACTCTGAGTAATCGCCCACATATTTGTTTACAGGTTTACTAAAAGTAAATAATGACAAACGTCTGCATTGAAAAATCAACAATACTGACTGTTTTGGTGATTTTATATATCGATCTTTTGGAGAGGATAAATTAGGATGCTCACTTTTTGACAAAATTTTTTCGAAAAAAGTGGTGGATCAACGAAACTTTGTGGGTTCTTCCTTGTAAGTTTTACAGTTGTATAGAAACTATCTCTAGTTTTTTTAATATGCTTAGTGTTGACCTAGTTGTTCTGTGTTCCTAGAATATCCTTCTGGTTTAGATGCCGAATATAATAAAGGAGTCCACTAACAAGAAAGCTTGACCTCTACAAAAACCATCCAAAGTAGTCTGCTCCTCGGTTTTATACTCTTGGTACTTCGTCAACAACACACCTACTTGTGTAGAACCAAGTATATTATCACCTTTTAATATCTTCTATAACGCTGACTAAGGTTTGAATTTTTGAACTTGTTGACTAGAGGATCGTCAAAAAGAGTGTGTTTATTAATTCTATTTTATTAATAAATAAGAAAAGAATTAAAAAAAATAAAGAAAAAGAAAAAAATAAAGAAGTTATTAGAAATATAAAAAATAGATAGTATAATAGCTTTAGAAAATTAATTTCATATAGTTGCAAGTCTTTTGGTATAGCTTGTATAGCTAACCTGATATTAGTCTTCTGGTTTTAAAGCAAAATTTTAGACCAGTATAACAAACTGCTTTTAGATACTTATAAGATAGCCAGAGAATATTGAGCTCTAAATATTAAGCTCAACATTATATAATTTATTTATATAATAATCTTAATAAAAGATTATTAACAAGATTACTAAATATTAAAAAAAATTATTATCAAGTTTTTTAATAATCTTATTTAAATTTTTGATTTTTTTGTAAAATATAAAGATAATATTATTAATTATCTGATTATTTTTTATTAAAAACATATATTTTTTTATCTACTATTTTTTATTAAAATTTTTACAAGTTTATTTTATATATTTACTAAAGCTTACATTTAGAGTTAGAGCTAATTATTAATTTTCTTTAATATTCTAAGTCCATTAATTTTTTTTGTTATGTCTTAGTTTTTTATAGTACCAATTTATAATCAAAATTCTGTATTATTACTACTCTAATATATTAATATATACAGAACCAAAGCTTAATAATCAGATTAAATTAATCTTTTAGTTTTAACTTCTAAGTGAACCAAAACTTATTCTGCTCTTATATTTTATTGGTACTAATATATCTACTATCAAATAGTATCACTATATTGCCTTATTTAATATCATTGTCCTCTTATAAATTTGTAGCTATATAACTTTAGTTATTTTTTAATTAGAGGTTCTAACTATCAATTTTATCTTCTATAAAGTTTAAAATATCAATCTTGTAATTAACAACCTCAAAGTATAACTGCTTTGCTATTGACTTAAAGGTTTCTTTTCTTTTTTTAATATATATAAAATCTGGTTCTAACTAGAGTTATCTATTTAAATTCTTTGTAATACAATTTGACTTATATTACTAGTATATCTCTATTACAACCATTAGTCAAGAAGTTTTAGATGCTTTTTTTGATAACCTTATAACTAATTTATTCACAAGACATTATTATTAGAGCTATTTATACTCTCAATCCAGTTAATCTAAATTTTGATAACTTATACCAAGTCAAAGAACAAGTATTTATAAGCTGAAGCCACTACCATTACTTACTTTTGCTCTTGTAAAGTTTATTCAAACACTTTATAGACTATTAACTGTATCTTCCAGGGTTGGCAATAGACTATGTTTATTAAAAATAAAGTTTGTCAATAAAACTTAATGGACCAATATTATAATCCATTAATCTATTGGTCTATTAGTTCATTAGTATAAGCTAAAATAAGGTCAATACCAAAAAAATCTCAAATATCATGTGGTATAATATTCTAAACTCATTTATAAAAGCTATATAATTATTTTATCTACTTGTTCATTGGTCTATTAAAATAATAACCATCTAATAGAACCAATGAAATTGGTCAATAGACCTGAAGTCCATTTATACCAATGGATAAATATGTGCCAACCCTGGTATCTTCAGCTTTTCCAAACTTCCAATTCAGATGACCTGAAAGAATGACTCCTCCTCCAATATCTGGTGACCTGATTGGTAAAGTGTCTTACCAAACACTTCAGTCCCATTCAGTTTTTTCATTTTTCTGAATAATAATTTTTTACATAGTACTATTAAAGATTTGTACTACCTTTTTATTTAGGTCTTGACAAGCAGGCTTTTATATTCTTTAATCTGTTGGTTTTACATAGCTGCTTTACTCAGTTTTTATATAACTTGTATATCACACTATAGTTCTATAACTTTCCAGTACAAGCTAGTATAACTATATTATAGGTGTAGACCCAATGAAATACAGTTTATTTAATGCATTCTATAAATTCGAATTTCATCACTGGTGGGATTCGAATTCTTGTTCTGCCATGTGGAGTGCAACAACTTACCAAATACACTAAGTTGCCACACCCTATTAACTTTAAAATTTTTATCCCCTTCCCTTCTAAAAAATCACCTAATTTTTGTCACCTCCTTTATCAAATTTCTGTTACTTTTTAATCTTAGAATTTCTGAATTTTCTTTAAAAAAGATTATACCATCCTGTAACTTATATTAGCTTAGTAATTTTTTTTAATCATTTGGTTTCAAAACCTTTTAGATTTCTAATAGCTTTTATTACTTTTGCTAAATAAGTATCATCTTGAAATTTGCCTTTTATTTGTTTATATATTTTTTCATTTTTAGAATAGTCAATACTAATATGTTTATAATTGTATTTTCACCGGGATTAAGTTGCACGATAAGAAGTAGTGGCAGTTATATGGTTAAAATTAAAGTATTGTGTGACTTTAACGGATCAAAATAGAAATTTTCAAGGTTAATTATATAAAATGTTAAACTACATTATTGATTTTAGTAAAAAAAAAATTACTAATTCAATTATTTCATTTTCATCAATAAAAGACTCTAGCTTTTAATTGATATTTCTTGCCATTCTGATCTCCTCTGAAATAGGTATTATGCAACTTTCTTACCATTTGGTAAGCATCTTGTTTTGACTTAAATACAAGTAACCATTTTGATGACATTGGTGCAATTCCAGAGCTAATAAAAAAAAAATTGTAGTAAATTTTTTCTATTAATAGATTTATAAACTTGAAATAAATTAATTTCATACATCGGTAATGGTATAAATTGTTCGCAGAGAGTATTTGAGATGCCAGGATAATCTGATACAAGGGTTTCTTTTATACTGTCAATTGCAATATTAACGGGAAAACCGTTCACAATGATGCAATTCCCCGGTTCCCTGCGTAAGTACTGCGGTAACTTTCGTTGAAACATATAAGCTTTGGACTAAAAATAGTTTGTATGTAAATTATGATATATCACTGTAATAATATAACAAATATGAACGTTATTCAACATTCAATATATTTACATGTGTAACAATGTCCAATTTATGCCCACAAAAAGATGTCATGGAATTCTTTGTCATGAATCGCTCTGCATCTTTTTCGGTATGAAAACGTACCATAACAGAACCTGTAAGCTGAAAGTAATTGTTACGAAGAAAGGCAACTACAGCGTTTTGAAGATGAAAATTTGATGTTAATCGTCAATTATAAAGAAATAGAAAAAAAAAGGAATTGAAACATACTTTCGCTAATAGAACTCACGTTCTTGGAAGTATCACCCGCTAACATTTTGATATCTCGAGGGATTACCGTATACGGTAGGTTTTTGATCTCGATAAGATTGGTGTTTTTTCCCTTGATCACTAAGACGAATGCGTTGAATCAAGTTGTTGAACCTTTAAATAATTACTCGGGATAACTTTTACTACGTGCATGCGACCAACCTGGAGGAATAGTTGTTCGCAATCCTTCTGGTATCCTTTCCCATTTCTTCGCCAGCTCAGAAGGTTTAAAAGGCTTCTGCGATAATGAATCCCCTCTCAGTTTAGCTGCAAATGAACTTTTCGAAGAAGCAATTGGTGTAATTAGACGATGCCATTTTGGCCTGACGGCGAAAGACGAGGCTAAACTATACATAGGTGCCGAAAATATTTTGCTCTTGGCGTAAATTTAAACGGCGAAAATGGCTTTGACAGACAAAATTGTAAATATATGTCGAAAACGTAGTATGCCTTAAAATGTCATTTTTTGTACAGGTAGGAACGTCCCAAATAAGGAAATGATGATCCCGATCATGCATATTTGTTCAGCCAATTAAAATCGAAAAT